CAACACCTGCCCTCGTGAAGAGGTAGAGAAGAACAGATTATTTATCGAATAAAGCATAGAAAATGTCACATTTTAAGGTTTTATTTATCACTAAAAGGGTTGACATGATTGGTTGTTAGGCCATACCAAATCCCGAGGGAAGGTTGTCTTGAAATTATGGATGTCAAGTTGGACTAAAACTCTTCGACCTCGACGAATCCGTGTCGAAATACATCTCAACTGTCAGGATGGACTACATCAGAAGTGAAACTAATCTCCAGAAAGGCCTCACGACATTTCGGCGTGAGAAAGTTCAGAAACTGGAATTTGTGTTTAGTCAGCCTAGATCGTTTCAGACGATAATGGACTTTATCCGACATGGTTCCGGTTGCTATTGGGAGACCGATGAGACCGCTGCTTGGGATGGAAAAACCATTTAGTTAGCCGAGGCTTGGTGAAATCCAATGACATCGCGAGGCCTACGTATATCATTGCCTTGTCCTCGAAACCTAACAAATGTCACAATTGTATGTATATGTGTGTGTGTGTATATATATATATATATATATATATATATATGTGAGCGTGTGCGAGTGAGACCTGCTTGTGCTTATGTCTACAAACCGATTAGAAAGTGCTTGGACGAGATCTATGCTGGAAACGAGAAATCTCGCAACGCCCAGACCAAAAATATATTTTGTTTTATGCCCTTTAATGACATGGTTTGGCTGGGCAAAGGAACTGGGTGAGGAGGCTGGGCAGGAGTCACGCATGTATTGAGTGGTGCGCAGTTACATGAAGCGGCCAAAAAAGTGAGAGAGTTGAGATAAACAAATGCATAGCAATAGTTTTAGATTTACACGAAATATGAGTCGTGCTTGTATGGGTGCCTTTGTAGGTGTGCTCAGCTTGAGGGTTGGCTGTTTTCACAAACTCGAAATGATGGCTCGTGTTGGTCTCGAATATTCTGTGCTCTCCTCCGACTGTGTACTTGTAGGACTGGTGCATTTCGCCAATCACCCCACAGCTCGCTGCCTTTTTCCTCTTTCCTCTTTTTTCTCTTTTCTTTTCTCTTTCTCTTTCTCTTTCTCTTTCTCTTTCTCTTTCCTGCTCCAAGCGTGCCCTTTGACCGAGCTCACCTTCATATCACCCGGCCGGGCTTAGGCCAAATTGCTCATTCGTCCCCCCCATCCCCCACGTGGAGGGCGGAAACAGTTCCCAATTCTTACATTCCCCCATCACACCCCATCAGATCCAATCGCCCATGTGCAGCCCATGTCGAGAGGCTGGCTTTGTTTTTGTTTTCTTCTCAGAACATCTATGAATTTTGCATTGCGATTGGGGACTCGCGTGATGACATAAAAGTATTCGCTTCCCAACCGTCCGCCTCATAAAATCGCCGGCCATTTCTGGCACGCTCAAACTGCCTATTTTCACTTCAGCCCAGAGGGAGGCAGTTCGCGTTGCCAAAAGTTCACAGCTACACAGTACAGCCCAGCGACAAGGTAGGATGAACAAATGGAGGGTTTGTCGGCGTAGTCGGTCTTAGAAAGTTACTCGTGGTCGCAAGGTTGTCGAGCCATGCCACGGAGACGCCCAATCGTGAACGATGTTGCCGACCAAACGACAAGCTCGATCGCCACTTGGCTTTTTGCGTGTGTATGTGTGTGTATTTGTGTGTTTGTATGTATGTGTGTATGAGTGTAGAGGGTGCGGAAAGAGGAAGGCCGTCCAGATAGTGACTCTGACAGGACTCCAACTGTGCAGGCTAGAAAGCGATTTCGCTCCTGCTTTTCAGCCGCCTGACGGGATTTTAGCCAATTAATGTTGACCTTGATGACTACTTATGTCAAAATAAGTAGCGTTATCGAATGTGATGTCAAACACGTGTTTGCTTAATGCTGGCACATCTTTAATTTAATTTGACGAGGCGGATTGCAGGGATTCGTAAAGTGGCCCCACTGGATACTGAAGAAGGGTTGCCTTGGCCTCATAACTTTTGGACTATCCGAGCTCAGCTTTCCTAAGTAATGTGACGGATATCGTCAGAGACCGAAAGCATTATTTGCAAATATCACACAAAACCAAAAAAGATGGCCGGTTGAAAGTCTACTTATTTGTTATGCCGAACTTTGCGATCTTAACGAGGCATTTCATGCTTTGGTTGGCTACTTTGTGATTATACTACACGCAAGTAGACAAGTAAAGTTGATGCAGGAAGGGGAGCGGTTGTGGTAACAACTTTTCTTATTAGATTAGGGTTTCGAGACTACCAGTAAATCAGTTTAATGAGATGTATTCACCCTATTTCGTGTAAGGTGAT